ACAAATGGTCTGGTTTTGGGTTACTTTTTTTCTAGTTTTATAACCAATTAAGTTTCCATATCCTTTTCTTTGTTCATATGGCTGAAGAGACAGGGAATATACTCCAGCAGTAACTGTGGAAAGCTAAGGAACTCTGTTGATTTCAGAGAAATCAGGTATAATACAATGGGGCATTTCTCAGGGCGAATCAGAACCAAATGACTCTGATGCACTTCAGTGACTCACCGTCCAAACTGAGCAAGGAACTAAAACATGGAGTACAAATATTGTCATTTTGTACTTTTGTCTGATGAATATATTCATACATGTAGGATTTACACAGCTAATTTTCATCATTAAAGCAAGCCACAGTTGTGGATGGTCTTGGCATGTTTTCTTCTGTCCCACTGTAGGGGAACAGATGATGTGTTGAGATTGCTTTTTGTGATTACGCTGGTAAATCTCACTTTTTCATGTTTTGTGGAAAGGTAGAATAAGAAATGCAGAATCCAGACTACAGATATCCCTCAGGAAAAACTGTATTTAATGGACTGCAATCTTGATAATAATTCTAAAGAAATAGTCCCCCAAATGTTGATAGTTTCAGAAAACTGTTTTTTCCCCTTTTCCTTCAGTATGCTGTTTGGAGATGACAACCAAAAGGAAAATTATCGGCCGCTTGGTGCCCTGCCGGTGTTTTCGTGGTGAAGAAGAAATCGTCTCAGTGTTAGATTACTCTCACTGTGGCCTACAGCAGGTGCCAAAGGAGGTTTTTAACTTTGAACGGACATTAGAGGAGCTTTACCTAGATGCCAATCAAATTGAAGAGCTACCTAAGGTAATCAGTGTTCTGCCTGTAATACAGATGTCAAAGTTGTGTTCTTAAATGTGTATTCAACATGTGCTTCAACTCTGAAACAAGGCTTGCTCTTGACCAAGGAGATCTGCTTGCTGTAGGAAGAGTCATGGCTATTAACTCTAGAGATTCAATTACATTTTTACAAATTTTTTTCTGCCCTCTCTGAAGAGCCCAAACAGCTGAGACACCGTTCTTGCAGATGGTACTGCGTGGGGAGGAGTAGGGCCACCTACTTCTCCTTGCTTCATAGCACAGGAACAGGGGGCAGCTAATGAAGTCTTAAGTTGGGAAATTAACAGTTGTTCAAAAGAAGTACTTCTTGCAAAACAAGTAATTAATATGGCATTTGATACCTTGACCAGGAGTACACTAATATATGGGGTAGATGATCTCACATTTGGATCCTCTGTAGCACTGCTTTTGCTCTTTGTCAGGGTAAGCCGTTAATCCTTGTGGGAGAAATGCCAGTACTATCTGACAAATATTTTTATAACTGCAAATGAGGTCCTGCAATAAGATTACCTAAGTTATCCTTCCTGTGTAAAACTTATTTTATCTTTAAATCTGTTCTTCTGTTGATTAATGTTTACTATAAAGAATTAAAAGTTACTGTAACTTAAGTGTTCTAGAAACAAAAGAGGGCAAGGTAGTGGAAAAACCAATTAATAGTAGGTGCTAGCTACATAATGAAGCATGAAGTAATGTAATCCATTCCTTAATTGAATTTTTCTCAACAATAATGAAAGATGCTTACAAGTCTTTAATTAAACATTGTTCCACCGTAATCCATTCTTCATCATCTCTCAACATATTTCTTACTTACACTGCATAGAGACTTTATATAAATTCTATTTACAAATGTAGAAAACGTACTTCTTCCATTACATGGAGTTCCTTTATTCAGATATGATGGTTCATTGCTTAAGATTGCTCACTCCATCAAGAAATTCTTTACAGATGGTAAGACAGTGTAGCTACAATCTTTTAAATGTCACAGGAAAATGATAGGGAGAACTCCCTTATCTCTCCTGCTACTAGAAAGGACAGCAGAGAACGAGATATTTTTTCTGTCCCCATAAATATGAAAAGGATTGTGGTGAAGGCCATTTTATTGCTAATGAATACCTTCAGGACTATTTCTCTTTTAATAATAATCTGTGGTTAACCTTGTATATTTTAATTACGCTACAAAAGAATCATACTGAAGAATATATAACGTGTCTAGTTTAGCTAGGCTGTTTTGGAATATTTGTTTTGGGTCTCTTGGAAGTATGCATTACCATGGTATTCAAACTAAACTGCAGTGTATAATGGAAGATAAATATATCAGAGCATAGAACAAGAGCAATATGCAATAATTCTGTATGGAAAAACTGAGGGCCAAAGGTAAGGAGTCCAAAATTATGAAATTGGGATGAAGGTGATAGTTGTTAGTGTCAGTCACAATTGAAATGTGCATGCTAATGAAACCTTTGCATTGTATTGTGGTATCATCTATTTTGTATTTGTTATTTGTGAAACAAAACAGCAGATAAATACATACCTTGGAGAGATTTAAATGTATAGGACTCTATTTTTGCACCTCTTTTTTCTCATTTTTCTTTGTTATAAATAATATTTTGAAGCAAATGCTATGTACTGAAGAAATCCTATTAATTGGTCTTAAGTTTGGGTAAATGCATTGTTTAACATAGTCTTGGCCTTGTATAAGAGAAGATTAATGGGACTGTTAATTTGCTTTCTTTATACCATTCATAATTTTTTGTCTTAAGCCTTTACTAATCATTACCATAAATTAAACAGCTCAATTTCTTTATCAAATTTTCTGCTTGAAATATTTTTTGCTACATGTGTCTGAACTTTTTTTCACTATTGAATTAATATTCTAGGAGAGAAAATGCCACTTTTTTTTCTTAAAATGGCACCATATTACTTACCATTAACTTTTGTATTACACATTACGATCTACCATAGGCAGAACTTCCCTCTCTCTGTAAATGTGAATTCAAATAACTTCTTCCAGAGAAAATCTGTTTTGTCAATTTTCTGTTATTTACCAAATGTTATGTGCCTCTGAAGTTACAATATTCTTTTGAAATTTTTTCTCATCAGAATGCTTTAGCATGTTCAAAAATTTAATGAAAAAAGCATAGGTAAAAACTCAGTTCAAGGTCCTTATCTACCTAGATACATTACTTACAAGAAACCAAGAAATTATTTTGCATTAAACTGATGTATTAAACTCATTCTGCCTGTTGTTTTTTATTTTTACCTTACATTTTATGCATCATAATTACACTTTTTTTTCTGCTGTCTTCATTAGAAATGGATTTCTAGTTCCTAATTTCTAATATTTTTCTTTTCTTTTAAGGATTTATAGGATTGTTGTATAATTCTTGTTCTCTATTTTCCCCTAACTCTGGCCAAGTCTTTCATTTTATTTGCCTTTGACTTCATTATCATGAGCTGCTGCAGCACGTATGTCCCTATTTGTATGAGTCAAATGAATCAATGACTAATAAAAAATAATACTGATTTTAATGACGGTGGAGTCACTGACAATCAGTATCCAGAAAAACATGAATGAGATGAAAATTCTCCCCAGCAGCTTTCCCTTATAAATATATAATAAAATCTGGACTAATTTGTAATGGAAAAAATTAGTTTGCTTGTTCATGACTTAGGAAAAATTCATCTGTGTCTAACAACAAATTCTAGAAATAGCCAGCACTGTGCTTCACCATCTCACATGTTGGTAAAATAGATACCAGTAATGCTAAATATGCTACTGAAGTTAGAGGCTACATCTTAACGCTTAATTGTCTCACTGAGAACAAACAATACAACCAATATATAAATGGTGTTGAGGTAGTCATTAATGTATAGCTCACATAGATGGGTAGGTATTATAAATTAAATATATTTTTCTTTTGTATTGCATTTGCTATATAAGTTACAGTTTCCATTAAAGGCCTTGAATACTTTTTCTAAATCTGCCAATAAGAAATCATGTTTCAGTTCCCCCAATATGTTAGCCAGTCTATTTCACAGATGCCTATGGAAATAAAGAGCAGAAATTTCATATTGTTCTCTGATGGCCCTGAAAGCCAACAACCTCTATTGCTGTGTAGTGAAGAACTTGAGATATGCAGAATAATAGCCCATTGTTTTAACTCAAATCACAGCTCTATTAGGACCGTTTGGTTCCCAGTCTGAAAGGAATAAAAGTAGTATATGGACATACAGTATGATGATTACATCAAGATCATGATGGCAAGGCCCATAAAGCACTAGAAATTGAGAAAGACACCTTCTGAATATCCAGTGGGTAAAAAAAAATGGGCAATTTTGGGCCTACATATCTGTATTCACACTCTTGTATTATTTCTGATACAACAGTACATCATAAAATTAGTCCAGAGGGAATATTTTTTATTACACTTCTTCATTAACCTCAAAAGGTTCAAAAGCCTCGTATCTGTGCAGATGTTGTCAAAACTTTGAGTTCCAAGCCTTCCTTAGCTTCTAAAAGAAGAATTCTCCAGGGGAACAGCTGGGAACATGCACTGGGAATATAATTTTCCAGGTATAATAGCATGGTATAGTTTGTATATCTACCAAAATTCTGCAGGTTCCCTATGCTGAACATTACTGATGTCTACAGCTGTTCCCACACAGTAATGTGGTTAGAAACTTTAAGAGCAAACCCTAGAGCCTATTAATTTCATTACTTTCCAGTCTTGTCCAAAATGATGTGCTTCCCTAAAAAAGAGAAAAAGTAGGTGCTCTCAGGTGTGTTGCAGAGGAATTCCTCATTCTCTGGAGAGATATTTCCCTTTATTAACATTTTCTGCAAGCAGAAATGCGTAAGCCAGTTTAGCTTCCAGGGTGAACTGCAGGCCCCAGCATGGAAATGGTTTTCTTCGTTACCCCTGCGGGGCTGCTGGGCTGTAGCAGCGCGTTGTGCTTCTCTGCCTACTGTTGGCGTTAGCTGGAGAGCAGCGGGGAGGAGGCTGTCGTGCAGTCTTGAGAATTAACAAGTACATTTCGTGTAAGCGGAAATCTGAAAAAAGTGTCAATACAAAAGCATTTTGAAAAGTGTCGTTCACTTTGAAAAGGCCCTTTCATATTTGGTGCCAATTGGTAGTGATTGTGGTGTGGTGCTTCTCATTCTGAGGATTTTTTATTCATGCGATTCCCTCTCAGTTTTCTGAGAATAGATTATCTTGAGGAAAAAGCAGGATGTTTCTAAAGGTTTATGAGTTATGGCAGAAGCATGCAGTTTCAAAATGATCTAAAATTGACTTCAAATGAAGTAGCAGGTTGGCGTTTGCACACCATTTGTGTGTTAATTTTCTCCTCTCTGGATACTTGGCTGAGTTTTTCATCTAGGCAATCAAATTATTATGCATTCTCAAATAGCCAGTACATAAGTATGTAGACTTTATTCTGATACAGAAGTCTGAAAGAAAGACTAAATCTGTTGTAAACATAGCGCTAATATTTGAAGAACACTTTTGAGATGCCTGCAAAGAGAAGTTGTTCTTCTCTGGAACCCGCTGAATTTTCTTGTGCCATTTGGTGAATTCATACTTGCAGAAAGTCCTGCGGGGTTTGGTAACTTTTAACTCTTGAAAAGAGCAATGTTTTTAGAGCCTGCAGCCACAAAGTGGGTAACGTGAAGCAGGTCTTTCCCACAGTCCGGTCCGATGGGTAGCGCAGGAGCGGTTGGTACTGGGGGTTGGAGGCCAGCTGCAGTGACGCTGTGCTGGGTGCACGAACCAGGGTTTGTACCATCAAGGCGGGTAGCCACGCGTGACCCTTCCCTGTCACCCGTAACAGTCCATTTTCCACAGTACTGTTCCTGGGCAGTGTGGAGCATGGCAGTAAATAAGCCAAGGAATTATATAGCATTCTCCTCTTATACCTGCTAGCGCGCTGGGCTTGAAGAAGCCATAAGCTACTCTATCTAAAAAATGGACCTGCTTGTTCTTCATTTACGGCACCTCTAAGCTTGCAGTGCAATGTACCTAAATGTGAAGTCGCTTTTCATGACTGCTTTCTCTTAGTATGGTTGTTTTATTAATTTTTACATGTGTAAGGTGTTGTATGAGATAGTGATATTTCTTGAGGAAAGCAGCTATGTTAAATAGGTGCTTTCAACATGATTTGTTGATTACTTCAAGTTGAAAGCAGGATTGTTTTGCAGTGGAAATTCTGACATTTTATAAAATTTTAATTTGAATTAAAAATTAGAATCAAGTACTGAATTTTGGGGGAGACTTAAGGAACATATAATTTTGATAATGACAAAGCATTTTGTTTCTTAACGATAGCAAATTTCTTCTGCATGCAGTCAAAATATTTTAAAATCTATCATGAAATTAAATTATAAAATAAAATATTTTAATTTACCACAAGCCACGAAAAATTTCAATTGATATGACACACGTGAAATATCATGTACCTACAAAATGTTGATTGCAATGAGTATGCAGTTTTTGACAGAAAGCTCTTTTAAAAAAAACTAATCAACTGTTCTCATTATCCTTGTCAACTGTGTATAAGCTGTGTTTAGGATACTGAGCAGCCTGTAAGAATGTCTTCCCAAATAATGGCTTTTCAGAATATTTTTTGATTATTGAATTTTTATGTAACAAATGTAGTTTTGTGGTATTTGTTGCTTCGGTGTATAAATAATGATCCCAAACTGATCTTTTTCCTGAAACACTGTAAAGTGTCTTTTTATGTTACAGCAACTGTTCAACTGTCAAGCTTTACGCAAACTGAGTATACCAGACAATGACCTTTCAAGTCTGCCAACCACTATTGCTAGCTTAGTTAATCTCAAAGAACTTGATATCAGTAAAAATGGTAAGAGATCAAAAGTATAAGTATTTTAAAGAATTGTAATGAATATGAATAGTAATGAAGTTTTAATTCCTAATGATTAACAAACTTGTGTTCTAGAAAACTTGCTCTTTTTCTAGATTATATACTGTTTTCCTGTCTGGCACTTTTGAGAAGTCTGGGTAGATAGCTACCTCATCTACTTTTCTGTTAAAAAAAAAAAAAAAAAAAAAAAAAAAAAGAGGTTGCTTTAGCATAGTATCCTGTGATGACTTGTGACTGATAAACATTAGAAATAGGAGTGGGAGACCGTTTTTCAGTGCACTTACGAACCATTCCACTTTCCAAAGTGGCTTAGTACTTACTGGGCTCTTGTGTAATGTATTTAAGCATATAAGGCTGCAGGTAAACAACTACCAGGATTTATATAGCCAGTGACTAATTTGCTGATATGAATTTCCAAATTATGCATTTACATATTTATGTGCCTAAAAACCTTTGCATGTCTGAACTTAAGTGTCTTTGTTTTGAAAATGAGGCTTAGGCTGTGTTGAAAATTTTGAAAAATTGATTATCAGTATAGGCCTAAAGACTCTCAGGATTGTATGTACATTCTCCCAAGAAGAGAAGGAGGCAAAGAAGAAAAAGATATGCAGTCTGGAAAGAAATGAAAGGCACAAATATAAGTACAAATGATGTCACTATTTAACTCTAGAAGATTATATAAATCAAGCATTAGCATAATAGTTTTAGTACAAGGCATATTATTTGTTCTGGTGTATTTATTTAGTGCTTAAGTATTATCTTTTAGACTATAATACTAAAATATATGTATTCTTCCTGTTATAGCTTAAGTCTGATCTGAAAATGTTGAATGAACTCATTTATGAACAAAACAAGTTGAATGTTTTTTTATGTGTGTATAATAATTATTTCAATATTTTTTTAGGAATTCAAGATTTTCCAGAAAATATTAAATGTTGTAAGTGTTTAACAATTATTGAAGCGAGTGTCAATCCACTCTCTAAGTGAGTATCAGTAGCTTGTCTTTGTTTACTGCAAGTGCAGGAAATTTACACAAAGTGAACTAAAATTTGTATCAAGTTCGTTTGCAGGATTAATCTAAATTTCTTTTTAATTGTTTGAAATCCAGGGTTGATGTATCTGTGAAAAGATCTGTGTACTATGTAACAAATGTGGTGTCTTTCCACATCATAAAGGAAGTTTTGGCAAAGCAGTCCAGATGATGCGGCCTTTTAAACACAGGGGGCTGGTGCTTTATTTATTTGGGAAGTAAGCCATGCTTCGTCCTCACATACCGTAATCTCTTGGGACTTTGGCAACCCTTATTCCTTCCAAAAACCTGCAATCTGTGTTGTAATCCCATGATTTATAAAATGGAGTGAAGGAGATGAAAGGATGAAATTTTACTTTCAGTTTAAAGAAATAAAGAGAGATAGCAAGAAAGAATGAATGAAAGAAAGAAAGAAAAAAACCACCTTTGGCTTAAAACCCTCAGCTAGGAAGGGAGAAAAGGCTGATGTAACTTGAATGTGCCAGGCATTTTAATTTCATATTATAGCAACATGGAAAAGATGAGAACAGGCAAAAATGATGTCTGTAACAAGTAAGTTCTTCTTGAGTATTTGGGTAGAAAAAGAAGGTAAGAGAGAAAGTAATCTTTCTCTTTCTAAATATACAGTTATTATTTCCATAGCAACTTTGGTGTGAGCATTAAGCTTTTAACTGTTTTTTTTAGGCTGCCAGATGGCTTCACACAACTTCTAAATTTGACCCAGCTCTATCTAAATGATGCCTTTTTGGAGTTTCTTCCAGCTAACTTTGGAAGGTAAGAATTAGTCATCAAAGCACATTCCTCTTCTATATGAACCCAGTTTAGGCTTTAAGGGACAATTTTAAAGCTGTATTCTTTTTAAAAACAAAACAAAGCAAAACAGAAGAACCAAAGAGATTTTGGCTTTTCAGCCCTATTTTGATGAATGATTGTTGTTAGAGAGAATGTTATGTCAGCAAGAATTTTATGATGAAGTGATGCAATTTGGTGGCTTAGGGAAAAGGTGAGAAGAAATAGAAATTGAAGAGGAGGCCTGCCCTTGATCAAATGTGTTATTAAATTGTGGCCAGGGCAGAAAATAACAATATGGTCTATGCCTATTGAAAAATGAACAGAAAGAAAAAGTGTTGTGAGTCAGAAAAGAAGAAAGAAATGACTGAGTGTGGTGGAGTAACCAAAGGAAAAATGTGAAAACAAGAACAAGAGAGAAGATTCAAAAAACAGCAGAGCAGAAAGGATGTAGCATGAGAGTAAAATTAAATGCAGCAGAAACTGAGCCAAAAAGTGTTAGATGAGGACAAAGCAGAGGGGGGTGGGAATCAAAGTTAACACAATTTGCCACCGCCATTTAGGAGGGCAGTAGAAGCCAGTGGATCCTTACATTGCACAGGTCTGGCAGAAATGTCAAGTTTATTCCACCACTGGTGCGGGAATGGTCAGCCTTTCTGCCCTCAGATTGTCCAGTTGGGCAAACAGCTCAGAAGACAAAGGATTAACAGAGAAAACATATGGTGGTGTTACAGGATTCACCCAGTATTAGTTTTTTTCCTGGTCCATCCAGCTATCCAAATGTGTATTTTACTGTTCTACTGGGAACATCAGCTCAGCATTCCCAAATGAATGCGGAGGTGACATAATTTGTGTTGGAAATGACATTGGTATGCTCAGGCACTGAGAAATAGAAAGTGCTGTTTTATCAGTATTCACTTGATGGGCCTGTCACTGATGCAGTGCTGAGTCTGGGCTTTATGCTGGAATACCTTTTAGAAAATGCCTAGTTGAAGAAAGAGGAAGAAAAATTGTCATTGTTTGTATTTGAAGAGTGTTTGAAATATCAGAGTAAATCCTAAGACAGCTTGCTTCTGCCGTTTGGAATCAGACATTATGTTCAAATGTCAAGGAAAAATAAATACATTAAATACCCTGCAATTTATCAGATGTGTAGTGTTTATATTCATTATGGTCTTCTAAAGCCTTGCTGGTACTTTGTCTAATAATCTTTGTTGCTTAAGGACATGTCTAGTATTCTAAATCTTTTAGCAGAAAGCACTAACTTTTTTTTTTCCCCCTTTTACAAATGCATATTTTATCTAAATGAAATTATACTAGTTTGAGTTGTTGTTGTTATTCCTTTATTATTATTATTCTGCTCCTATTTTATCTATATGGTGTCTTGCATTTACAAATCCTTGTCATGTTTCTGAAGCTTCCCACATTAGCACACAGGCATTGCTCTTTAACTGTATCTCCCTCATTGCTCTTCTCCAAATTTTAGTGATTTCTTTATATCTTCTGGTACAGTAATATTCAGTTAGTCTGTTATAATCTCATTTAGCCATGTGAATAAAGTCAGGAACAGAGTCTACCTGAGCATCATGTAAATGTCTCTGTACATTTCTCATTTAAAGTTGTTCTTTTTAGTCCTGGTTAAGCACAGCTGTAGGACTTGAAATGTTTTCTGCTTTGTTTGGTAGGAAAAAGATAAAAATCGTAGTTTTCTAGAATAGCATAATATTGGGAAGCCTGAGGTTCCATGAAACAGGAAACTGGTGGTGTGCTGGACAGAGAACTATTTAAAGCTTTGCTGTATTTTAAAAAAATTTTTCTCACATGTTTACACTTATGGCACTAAAGGACCTGGACTGTCGAGACAGAGTAATATGAAAGGTAGTATTAATGAAATTGTTGAAACTCACTATAAAGTTCCTCAATAAACTTTCTTCACATTTAGAAACTATATCATCCTAAAAGCTTTAATAGTATGACTCTGGGCTGACATCTCTGTTTAGAAATGATACAATTACAAATTAGTTATGCAGACCTGCTCAGTTCTTGAGCAATCCTGGGCATGGTCAGCTCATGCATTGAATGTACCTCTAAAAATAGTTGATTTGATACTCCAGATTTTCTGTGAGTGGAGTTGTACAATTTGAGATGAAGAGGAAAGGACCTCATTGTTCATCCTTTTGGTTTAAGATCCTCTTCCTTTTCCTCCCCACATTGATTATAATTTGGGATTAAAAAAACAGCAAAAGGATGACAGGAATCAAAATCCTTTCATCAGGTTATCTTCCTAGACAATATGGGTAATTAGACAATACTGCCCCAAATTCTGGAACTCTAATACATTAGTGTCTTCATCTCCTAGCTGATGTGTCCTCCTTCCTTGCCGTTATTCTACTTCTTGAAATTTATTGCTGTGGCTTAAATAATATTGCTCATTAGAGTTTGCACAGTGATATGGAATTATGAAGTACTGTTGTGTATAGGTTCTAATTTATGCCAACACTTAAGCACATGTCCTACTTCTGTTTAAAATACAGTAAATTCAATGGAGATCTGTTCTGTAGTATTGGTCTGCCTGTGTGGAGTTGTAGAATTCAGTGCTCAAAAATGCAAAAGAAAGTTGTGAACTAAACAGCAGTTGCTTTTTATCCTTTAATAGGTCTGGAAATGTTTGAGGGAAATTAACTTTTACTATATTTGCCTTGTTTGAATAATTAATAAAAATAGTTTAGAGTTACTGTGGAAAATTGATATATGTCAAAAGTTTTGCAGAAGAGTTCAGGTAAGGACAGATATGTCCTTATCTGAAGCTGTCTGTCCTTACATGAAGCTATTCGGTTCTGAACACATTTTGTATCATACTCAGCCCCAGAATAACTGGACATCTTACTATTGTACATTAAGTGGACTCTTTTTTTGTTGAAATAAATAGTTTCAAATAGTCCTTCTGAATTCCTGAACTAATTAATTGAATCAACTAATTATTTTCTATCATATTTCTAGACTTGTCAAATTGCGAATTTTGGAGTTAAGAGAAAATCACTTGAAAACTCTACCAAAGTAAGTGATTGAATATTTACATAAGTCTCTTTCACCTGAAATTTCCAAAAGTGCAAAATATTTTTATTGTTAGCAATGCAATGGTGTCACTTCTCTTGAGTTATTTTTTCCATGGTTTAAAGAAATTCTACTGAAGGTTTTTAGCAAAAAGCGAACGTATAATGGAAGATGGAGACTGGTACATTAGCTGACTGTAACTCAATATCCAAAATCTATAACATGACATTTTAAAACATGAGATGTAAACAAAATTGGAGAACAACATATGAGATAACCCTGGTCAGTGATTACGTGACAGTATTTTCCTGATCAAGATGTAATCTGTTATAATGAAAACATACTCAATGTAACCTCAGTAGAACAATCTCCCCATATGATCTGTACAGAAGTTAAATGGTTTACAATACTTTTCAGAAACATGTATCATCAGAATATTGAAAAAATGTCAATTTGGTAGTGTTTCTTGGTACTATTTACCAAAAAAAAAGAAAGTTGCTATAATTTGTTGCTATAATTTGACCAACATTTAAATGATATTTTGAAAAGGAAACAATAAAGAATGAAAAGCAAATCTGTACACTTCCCATGCTAAATATAGGAAGCTGTCCTTCACAAAGCAAGAAATACGTTTTTGTATGCAGACCAGCATTATATAATTGTTTTCTGTAACAGGGATCTTAACCAATGAAAAAATATCCATGGATTTGTGGATTGTTGTAAACAGGGGTTGTATGTCCCCATTATAAGTGAGGCTTATAGTGGCAATAGACTGTGTTTATGAAATGTTGCTAATACTGAATTGCATATTATTTAGCTCATTTAAAAAGGGCACCCTTTTTAGCAAGCATGCATTTATCAAAATCTCCTATGCAGGCATTTTGCCTATAATGGGATATAGTGACATTTTCACTACTTCCTGTGGGCTTTTATCCACAGCACTTTCCTTTTTTAAAGGAAAGCTATTTTTTGTGTTAAAGGCAATATTCTTTGTATCAGTTGAAATCACTTTTTTGTGTAAACTTTCTATTTCCTCTGTTCTGAGTTACATTTACTATTCTGGAAAATAAAAGAAAATCTTCAATCTGTTACCAAAGTGTTTATCTGCATTTAAAAACGAGACCTGTTCAGGACCGCAGATTTGCAGCCTTTGATGTTTTTATCATCTGAAAGGCTATATACATGCTGTAGCATATACATTTTACCTAACTACCTCTTAACCATCAGTCTCTTTTAGAAGGGAATTGCATAGTCTTTGCATGCAGAAGGTGCTTGTTGGAATAAATGGATGTGTGCGTGCTGGGATTGAAGAACCGGAATTCCACAACAGAGTAATTTTGATCAAACAGAATATTTTTATATTCCTGGTCTGATTCTAATCCCACTGAAGATGATAACAGACTTGTCACTGAATTCAGTGGGAGCAAGATTGGGATTGTGTGTCATTGTTACTAATAAAAAGATTTTTTTTTCCTTCTGTGATACATGGTGTTTAACAGGCAAATTTTGTCAAGTTTGGCAAGTGTTTGGAAGATTCATACCTAAACATAGTAGCCTCTGATTTCAGTAGCACTAAGTTTGTTAAGGTGGCTGAGCATGACTTTTCCCACTGTATGATTCTGAAAGTAAGGAAGTTCATTGATTCTTGTAACTAAGGGAAACATTATTTGTAGGCGTGTTTGTTCTCTGCTCTTTGCTATGGTAGGCGGCTTTGCTATATACTACTGAGATGAACTGGAAATAAAAGGTTTTGCTTATGCAAATGCTATCCTTAAAACGGCTCGATAAAAGGGAGAGCTGTGTTATGAAATAAAGTAAGAGGAAGAGGGAGAAAGTTGACAAGGTCATTTTTGCATCAACTGGGAGACCTATGCATTTCTGGGCTGCTTTTGTCCTCTAGAGCAGTTTTGTCTGCAAGCAAAAAAAGGTGCACAGTGTAATGGATGGACAGGAGTTAACACATATTACAGAGAGTGAATTTAGAGGATATACATCCTGCTTACTAGTTAGGGTGAATTTGACCTGGTTTATAAAAGACATTAACTACTCATCTGAAGCAGCATCTCTTTGCATACTGGAGTGGACCTGGGAAGATCAGGGCTGAGCGTGGGAGGTTGGAGGGGGAGAGTGGTGAGGCCATGGGCGAATGCAGACATGGTAGTGTGGCAGGTGGAGCTAGAGCAGGATCGGTATGTCATTTAGGCTTTACAGGGAAACAGGAAAATGTTAAATACCAGGCTGTTTTATTTTCTCAGCCAATAAGAGAAGTAAAATTGTGACAAGAAAACTGTATACAATAGGACCATCCATCTGCAGTTAGGAAAGCAAATGCAGTAATATAGATCAGAATGTATTTTACAGTCTAGTTGCAAAAAAGGTGATACAGGTCTTTCAGATATATACTTAAAGGCTTGCTTTCTTATCCTACAAATTATCAGATATATCATTAATAAGATAACCTGATTATGATGGTAGTTTGTCCAGTAGTTCTAATGTAAGAAAAGACATAAAAAGGAAGGCAAATAAATAATTTTAATATAATTTGGCTTTTAAATAGATGTGAAATGTACTGTAAGACTGTTTTAAGTATCTTCTGCTCAGTAGTATTACCATGTTAAGTGCAACTTAAAATCAAAAAGCAGGTCATATTCTTTCATCTGTTCTGTGCTGTAAAATATATGTATAAATAGTTTTTAAAGGAAACATTTGGCGTTTTGGCATAAACAGGAATTAAATGTGCTTTGTGTTTACAGTAGCTCTAATTTTGCTATATTTCATACTAGCTCAACAGTCAAGGTTGTTGTAAAATATATCCACAGTAACTGAATGCAAAATGTTCTAAAATTATTTACAAAAATATCAGATTAAGTAAATACTAACTATAGTTGGCTGAAAAGTAGCTCTCTAACCAGACCATAGGTCTCCAACGTGTCCCTCTTTAATACAACTTGCATTAAAAAATGAGAGCTTCCCTTTGCTGTATTTGTTGACATAATTTTACAGCATCTAAAACATGTCCAAACATGTCACTGTATTCCCAGACACTTTCCTGATAGAAAATTAGTGAAGCATTGTTCATAAAATGCTTTGAAGATTCTTCTGATTTCTTCTGACAAGCATACCAAACATTTAAAATAGCACTGTCTTCCTGTATTGTACTGGGCTGGAGACATATGTTGCTCTTCAAATGAAAATGTTGCAGGATGTTCCTATTTTCTGTCAGCAGTACTTTCTCGTTGGAAAATACTACTAGCCTTACAAATATTTTTAACATACTGAAAATATTTGTGTGTTTAGTCTCTAGATCTTCACAATACTGTTTTATAAAATCAGTAATTTTTCTGTCTTACATGGTTTGAATAAAGATTATTATTGATACCAGTTGGTTTCCAGGTTCTTTTGAGCATTTAGAAATATTTGGAAATCTCTGGCCAATATTACAAATAATTTCTAATATTTTATTAAAGCTTTAGTTTGTGCAACAAAAATAGAAAAATCTGTTTTTTTCTCTTGAATTTCTGTTAAATGTTTCAGAGCATTTGTGAGATTCTGATGAAGTTTCTTATGTTTGAACAATGTTGCCACCTAGATCACAGGGTTGTCTGTTGGTGTGAAGAACCAACTAAGATAATTTTTATTATTCTGTTTGGATAAAAGCGTACTTGATCTTTACTCGCTGTAACAACATGTAATATTACCGTGTAATAGCTCGGGATGGTGTTTTATAGACTGCGGCTCCCAATAGCTCCGTAGTGTTCTGTTCTGTAATACTGCCCTACTGGATATGTGTATGAAGCTACAGGCGAGGCTTTCCAATTGCCAGTGATGTTTTCAGTCATTTTGTACCCAAACTGAAACAATTAAATCAGTGGACGGATTCCCATTAGCTTCAATGGTTTTTGAATGAGGCAGTTTGTGCTTCAGTGTTTAATTATTCTGTGTTTGAGTAATTTCTCAGAGTGGAGAAATGTAATTCCCAGTTTTCTATCCTGCTGACAGCCTGGATGGGAAGATAGGAGAGGAGGCTGCCAAGGGAGGAACCACTTAGAGAACTGTGGTAGGAGACTGACAAGTCCCACAGGTCCCACCAAGGGCCCGTTTTGCGCTCAGTCCTGTTTGGGCAGCGATCAACACTTCCCTGGCAGGATCTAAGTAACTTGGTGACTGTAAACCTCTTTTCTTTAACATCCTTTTCTGTGTCATTTATAAACTACTCAGCATGTGCCCGAGCCTGGAGCCTGACTATTGGCAGCTCCTCCTCCTCCACCCACTCCTTTAAAACTGATATTTTTTCCAATCTTTGGTCATTTATTTATCCATATGAAGCCCCTCTCTGGTCACATGGCTGCTTAGGTTAAGAACTTTCAGTGAAGGACCTTTGCACATATCTCTTGGAAATGAGGGTAGACTTTATTGTCCAGCTCTCTTGTACTCTTGACTCTTTCAAAAGACTCTACAAATATTTTGAGTCAACCCTACTCCTCACAAAAACTGTGTTGAATTTCCCCAGTGTGTCATATTTGTCTGTGTAACCCCTTATTCTATTGCTTAAAAGAGTTTCTGTTAATCTGGCTCGTACAGTTGTCAAAAGTCACTGGTCTGTAGTTTCCTAGGCTTATCCTGGAATGATTTAAAAATTGTTGTGACATTAGTTGCATACTTCCCAGTCATCTAGTGCTGAAGCACTGTGTGAGAGGTTCTGTGTGTCATACATGCATGTTGTCCGAGCTCTTAACTGTAGGTAAGCATTGCAGCATGGGAGCCTGCCCACACTCTGAATACAAATGCAGAAAATTACTTTAGTTTTTCTGCTCTGACCTTCTTTTTTTCTGAGCATTCCTTTTATATCTTTTCCATAGACTCTGGCAAGCTCCCTGCTCCTGAGGGGCCTGAGGAAAGATTTAGTATTACTTTTTATGCCTTTTTTTCAAATATTTCTGAAGATGATTTCTGGCCTTCTATACTTAACCATTCTGTTCTATTTTCCTTATTTGGACATGTTT